TAGCGATCACCTGATCCCCCAGATAGGCTATGCCTTTGGGAGATCATTAATTTTAAGGTGGCAGACCACCCGAAAATTCGGTGAAAAATCGAATTTGTAAATTCATATCGAGTGCTACGTCAGTTAAAAGAGCATGAATACCTGCAAAATCTATGAATATTTTGTCTCGATCTGACCAGACGTTCAAGTGTTATGGCCGAAAAAATGTGCCCTTGCAAGGAAAAACACAGTCAGCGTACATGTACTGGCATTCGGTATGAACGGGCTCATGTACGTGACTAGCCCGAGGAACGACTGGAGCTCGTCCTCCTTCTCGGGGTGTTCCATCTGCTTCAGCGCTGAGACCTTCTTCGGGTCGGGCTGTATTGTATCGCTTCTATTTTACATGGCAAGTCAAATGGGCAAACATGCCCAATGTTATGATGACGATGGAAAGAGAGAAAAGATCTAAGAACAAGATTAGTTATCCTGGATTATGGGGAGTGAAGAAAACGGTGAGATGTGCTAGGGCAGGACAGCTAGAGGGGAATGCTAGGCTGTATGATTCCGAAGTACATCTATTTTGTGTTTGGTTCATGTAATGCATTGCAAATCCAAGGACATTCATCCCCAAAAGGATAAAATCTAAGATAACCTGGATAGGTGGAGTAAAAAAAACAGTGAGTATGGAGAACTCTCGGGATAGGGAACATCCTAGCATTAGCCATGAAAGTAAACTTTCAATAAACGCTTGAATCGGCATGTGGTAGGGCATGACTTTAAGGACTAGGGCAAAAGATTCCACAACTTAGCAGCAGCAAAAACTGGTCTGTGAGATCCCGAAGTACTGCGGATGTTGGGAAGGGGCAGATTGCAGGCATCCTGACCTCTGGTGGCACGGGGCAGCGAATTGTATTCCAGGCGTGATTTGAGCAGCAAACTGACATTGCCGTGAAGAATACGGTGTACGAGAAGCCACAACTTGCAATCCGCCCGCTCGACAGCCGGACAAATGCTGAGTTGGGCATACAGCTGCATAGTGTGGGCACGTGAGGGCTGGGTTGTGATACAGCGGATGCAGAGCTTATCCAGTCTGATGAGGATCTGTTTGAGGCTTGTTGAGAGGCTGGCGAAGTAGGCGTTCGAGGCGTAGAGTATGTCAGATAGGAGAAGAGCTGTGTAGTAAGGGAGGGACTGCGCACGGGTGATGTCTGGTCTGATGTGGCGCAAAACTCGGAGTTTGTAGTACACCTTCTCCACTACAGCAGCCACTTGACCTGCCCAGCTCAACCGCTCGTCCAGACAAATACCAAGGTGTTTGGCTGGCTGTGCTGGTTTGAGCCAGAGGAGTGCCACGAAATGTAACTTCAAGCTCTAGTCTGTTCTGCGGGTTGAGGATTAACTCCTTATCTGCAAGAAATGTTGCAACTCCGGACACTGTAATGGAGAGGATATGGTTGATGGTAGCTACATCAGAACTGCTGGTGTAGATCATGATATCGTCAGCAAACATCAGAACCAGCGCTGGTGACGCACACTGCACTACGCTCCTTGTGTAAAGGGAGAAGAGTACCGGCTCCAATACACTGCCCTGTGGAACACCGCACGTGCAGCTAGTCGTATCACTGAGAGACTTCCCCGTCGGCTAAGGCTACTCTCTTGTGTCTGCCACTGAGGTAGTCCACGAACCAATCGAGGGCAACTGAGCCGATACCAATATCATGGAGCTCCTTCACCATCGCTTGGTGGTTAACCTTGTCAAAGGCCTTGCTCATGTCCACCAAGACAAGGCCACAGTGCTGGCTGTGGCAGTGAGAAGGCTATCAACAGCAACAGTGATGGAGTCCTCCGTTGAGTGGTGAGGACGGAAGGTGAACTGGTTGTCGGGAAGTAGATGTTCCGCGTGGACAAACTGGCAGAGCCGCTTGAGGACGATTTTCTCCATGATCTTTGACACTACTGGGAGCAGCGAGATTGGCCTATAGTTCTTTTGGATAGATGAGAAACCGGATTTGAAAAAAGGACGTACATTTGCTGGCTTAAGAGAGCTGGGTACTTGCCCCTCAGCCATTGAAGCATTGATGAGGATGGTTATAGAAGGAGCTAGAGCACGGGCGTAGTGTTTCAGTATGCTGCACGGAACTCCGTCACTGCCGGTTGCTTTCCGGTCGTCAATAGCCTGCAGCAGTTTAAATACCTCTTCACAGGTGGCGGGCTCGAATCGAGTGAGTGACCTTTCCCGGTGTGGACCAGCAGATGGCACAAGGCGAGCTCGCTGAGTGGGATCTGTCACGACATTTCCGAATTGCTGACTCAAGCTGCCAATAGGTGGCAGCGGCGGTGTGTCCTTCTTTTTCCGACCACTAAGGTCGTTAATCACTTGCCAAGTCTTCCGCGGATTCGACCTGCAGGAGTTCAGCAGTTGATGGTAATGGTTGGCCTTCAGCTCTCGAGAGAGTTTCTTTGCGCTCGAATGGGCTAGTGAAAACTCCTGATAGAGCTGTTGATCTAGTGGACTGATTCGCCACCGGCGATGGGCTCGATCCCGAGAGCTGATAGCGGAGTAATAAGCGGGAGTCTTCCATGGCGTCGATATTTGGTGACTAGTCTTGACGTGGCACTTTCACACAGGTGGAAACCGATCGAGAGTGAGGAGTGGCCATTGGTACCACTGCCCCCACATTCTCTCAAGTGTCATTGCTGTGGAGAAATCCTCAAGTCCGGAGTTGGCGAGGGCTTGGGAAGTTTCGTTCATGTTCGACTTCCTGAAGTCAAGGTCGATTCGTATAGTGGGAACGTTTCCGCTAGGAATACAATATCTAGGTCATGCAAGGTAATGAGGTCAACAATGTCATCAATTTTATGAACTAGATGATTTACATTTAACCCTAGAAGTACTGGAGGCATCATATGAGCCGCGCCAAGCTAAAAAGTGGCTTAGCGTTTTGCCAACAAATCGAGAAAATCACCAAAACGTCACAGTCGGCAAAATTCTACTCGAGCGCAGTCGCGAAAATATTCACTTTCGAGCATCCTTTCAAATTCAAGTAAATAGTTTGCAAGTGGAGAAGAAGGAAGAGGCCTTTTATTTTTGAGCAACACTTCTTCAGTGTTCCCTTTTTCATCGTTGAGTGGATTTCTCGGCGCTGCCAGAGATCGTAATGGAGCGTTCTGGAGAATGCGGAGGCGAGCTGGATGACACTCTGTCTCCGTGTGCGCCCAACCCTAGTTGACGAGGAAAACTCGCCCATTCATAGTGGCTATGGTTCTCATCGTGGCCATGACTAGTCTAGAGCGTCTGGTATACCTATGTGGAGACGTCTACAAGCCGTCCGGCCATCACTCTGACAAGCTCCCTAGTGAGTTGGATCTTGCTGCGATGTTTCACTTTGTTTCGGGGACCTTCAAATGTTCATGACGTGGCGTACTGTACTCCATAAATTCCTCATTTCAAGGACAATAGTGCGACATGACGAAACGATGCATTGACTCTACCTGCTAGCATATCGTCCTTTGGTGCTTATACCACTACCTACACCAGGGAAGGAGAATGACATGGACTAGGACGGACAAAGAATCAGTGCCGCCTTTTAGCGATGTGCAGTCAGTTGGACCTACGTGCAAAGGACCAATGGAGCTCGATCTCTGGCACAACACTACGAGCTACAAGGAAGGATAAATTCATGTTGGCGTAGGTGATTGGAGAGAGGATGAGGATTGGTAAGATGCGACGTTTCCCAGCCGAGCGAAAAATATAGTCACAGACTCACAAAATCATTGAAGGATATGAAAATTCGTGTTGCGTGATGAAATGACATGAGATGAATAGATCAATTATTTCTTCTTTCTTGGATCTTCTAATCAGAACACAAGTGCTCGTTCCTCTTGTATTGCTTCCACACCTGCTAAGCTCTGTCTCTACTTGGTGTCCCATGTTTTCTGGAGTAGGTCTTCATAATTATTATCTTAGTTTCATTGATACCAGGCATTCTGTGACATGTGCAGGCAATGTATGCTTATTTATGGCACATATACATTTCAGATGGGCACCAACATTTTCTTGATGGAAGTTGGATAGGTAGACATCGCTTTGGCATGAAAAAAGTATGCCTTAGCCACAAAAAAAAAAAAATGGAACGTACTCAGGTGCTCAGAAGCAACGAAAGGATTGTTGAGGAGTGGAGAATGGTCCGAAAAAAACTAGGATCTCTTCTTGGCGACGAGGTTGACGTAGCACGAAGGAAGCAGCTTGCTTCAGCGGCCTTCACTTCGATGTTTAACCTCTGGAAACGGAGATCTGCTGTGAGTGAGCATCTGCGCCTGTGACTGTAGTCGGCGTTCGTCCTACCCGTCCTCGCGTACAACTGTGGCACTTGGGGCCTCACGCAATCTGCTTTCCAGAAGTTGGATGCATTCCACCGACGTCAGTTGCGGTCTCTCCTTGGCATCAAATGGCCACAGCGCATCGCCAATGAAGCACTGTACCAGAGGTGCCAAATAGAGGAGATCAGCATCTTCGTACGCCTTGCCCGGTGGCGTCTATTTGGTCACATCTTGCGGCTGCCACCATCAACCCCCGCAGTATCGGCAATGGAAATCTGTTTCGCAAACAACAGCACCAGATGGCTTGGCCGGCCACGCATCACTCTTCCGAGCGTGCCGCATCAAAATCTGCAGAAAGCCGGGCAGGGTAGATTCCTGACTCTGGAAGATCTTCATTTGCTCCGGGCAACAGCTGCCTGTCGTAAGAGCTGGAAGGCTCTGCGTGTGGCAATATGTTCATCCAACTAGTTACAAATGAATGTACTTGTAATCCTATATTAGCCCGACAGTGCAACGTCAAATCAACCGGATGTATCTCCTTAATTTGTTCATCTCCCTATGTTTCTCTCTCTCTCTCCCTCTCATTCTCTCTCTCTCTTTCTCTCATCTACACCGGTGGGTGGGACGCAGATCTCACTGTAACCCACACACTTGACGTACAATGTACATCTTATCCAAATTCTACTTTGTTCTCCCAGAAATTTGAGGTATAATCAACTGGTTGACCTACCTGACGGGCTGTTCAAAGCCACAACTGAATTACAAACCCTGTAAGTCATGGTGGGCATGTATCGGAAAAGAGGTTTTTTGCGTAGTTCTGTCCAGCTGCCTTTGAGGCATCAAGACGAGGTAGAAGCGGGTGGTCTACATTGGGACGAAAGTGAACTGTCATCAGTGCAGGTGCGCAAGTGAACGCTGTGTCCAGTAGGTGCATCATACACTGCATTTCTTGGAAGAGAGACATGCTCTCTTAATGATTATGAACATGGCAGTAGATGAGTGAGGAAGAAGTGAAAAATCAAACTTAGGTCGTAGATACAGTATGACAGAGAGAACAAAAGAGGAAAGGGAGAAAACGAGAGAGAGTGAGAGAGAGAGAGAGAGAGAGAGAGAGAGAGAGAGAGAGAGAGAGAGAGAGAGAGGGAGAGAGAGAGACAGAATGAGAGAGAGAGTGAGAGAGTGAGAGAGAGAGTGAGAGAGTGAGAGAGAGAGAGAGGGAGGGGGGAGAGAGGAGGGAGAGTGAGAGGGGGGGGGGAAGGGAAGGAAGAGTGAGAGGGGGGGGGAAGGGAAGGGAGAGAGAAGGGGAAAGGGGAGAGAGAGAGAGAGAGAGAGAGAGAGAGAGAGAGAGAGAGAGAGAGAGAGAGAGAGAAAGAGAGAGAAAGAGAGAGGGAGGGGGAGAGAGGAGGGAGAGTGAGAGGGGGGGGGAGAGAAAGATATCGAGACAGAGATCGATCAGTATGTGAGAGTAGCTGACTGAGTTACTGCTCCGCTGCAATCACCTCTAGATGTAGTGCACGTGTGAGAGCCTGGAAGGTCCGCTTTCCACCCTCAGTTCTGACGCTGACGGGAAGAGCATTCCACTGGACACTTGCCACGAACCTGATGGAACGTCGCCCGAAGGGACCGCGGAGAAAACGCACACATAGCAGATTGGACTGCTGCCCTCAAGTTGCCCGGATGTTGCTGGGGACGCCAACTGGAGCAGTGCCTGTGAACATCTCCTAAAGCAGGGGGCTTGCTTTGTGGTGGAGGCACCGATGAACTACGACCAGAAACTTTTGATTTAGCAGTTGCAGTAGGCTGGGGACACCAGCAGGGATAGAAGAGGAGCTGTTGGCACGACATTACGCTGTTGGAGGGTTGACCGTAGACCCGTCTTGGAGAGTTTGAAGACTTGATCAAGCAGGTGTGCGCTAAGTCCTGGAAAGAAACGATTTGAACCATAACACAGCTGGGAAAGGATCATGCTCAGAAACCATGTTCGCCGGGGAAGCAAACTCAGTCCTCGTCCATGCCTCCAGAGCTGACCAATAATATTATTGTTCGAGCTGTCTTGCGACCAATATACTCCACATGTGGAGCCCAGGATAAATCATTATCCAGGACTAAATCAAGGTACTGAGCTGTAGGGGTCATACGGAATTTCTCGCCATTGCAGAAGACCTCCGGTTGTATTGTAGCCGTGCCTCGCGGCCGGATGAAGAGCAACTGTGTCTTGGGAGTGTTGAGGAGCAGGCCAACGTCCTCCAGCCAGGTAGCAATGTCTGTCATGGCTTGCGTGGGGGTTCTGCACACCATAGCAGGGTCAGAATGGGAGCAGTCGATGACAATGTCATCTGCAAATTCTTGGTGCTGTACAGACGGTGGCAGTATGGTGTGGAGTTTACTAGTGTAGAGCACAAAAAGCAGTGGCCCAAGGGCGCTAACTTGGGGAACACCACGGGAGAAACTGACGGCTTTACTACCAGAGTCAATAACACTCTGGACACGCCCTGAGACGTAGTCAGCGAACCAATCCAGGCCGTTCCAGCTATACAAAGGGAAAACAAAACTGTAACTAGACGTTCATGCTTAACACGGTCGAAGGCTTTCGACATATCAACAAACACTGTCCCAGTGAACTCTCGTTTGTGGCTAGCGGTGGACCATAGATTAACAGCTATAACAAGTGCATCCTCAGTCGAATGTTGCTTGCTATAAGCAAATTGGCTGTCGGGCAATAACTGGTGTGCCTCCAAAAAGGCAGTGAGCTGGACGATAGTTCTGGGGCAGGGTTCGGTTGCCACACATTGGACTGAAATGTGACACTTTGAAGGTTGGTGGAACCTGTCAAGTTCCAAGAGACAAATTGATAATGCTGGTGAGATTCGATGCAAGAACAGAGGCATCTTCATGTGAAACTGGCTGGAAATTGGATAGGGATGTCTCCAATGCTGGCCCTGCGGGTGGCTGAAGGTTCAATGTCCGAGCTGGGTCATGGACAATACTACCAAAGAGTAAAGTTAGTTCTGTGATGGATGCCTGTGGCTCAGACGGCTCTTTCTTCATACCAGCAACTGCATTCATGATTGACCAAAGTCTTCGCTGGTCACTGGTGTTACACTGTGCAGTGAAGAACACGTTTCTTAGCTTATGATCTAGCTTCCCTGCTGCAACCCTTGCAGCTCTATGTGGGTTGCGTAGCTCCTCATTTTGTTTGTCTCGCATGCCATTTTCAAATCAATGTGCTTACACTCCTTGACAAAGGAGTCAAAGACCCATAAATAGATTCCGAGATCAAGATGTAAGGCTGGCAGGCACACATGATCAATAGGAACAGAGAGCATGGCAGGACGTATGGCATTGTAGAAATGCTTTGCTTTGGATAAGCACCCACCGTCAGCCATAAATTAGCCATGGTGAAGTGAGAGTGTGTTGAGCGTGCGTGGCTCTGGCTGCTGCTCCCAATCAGCGGGGCACTGTTGTATCTGTTGCTTTGTACTCAAGCAGTGCAGACACGGATGCACTCCTGCAGATCCTGACAGGCCATAAACAGTCGTTTGAAACTCGTAGTCGCCAAACAAAATAAGGCGAAACGACTTGTTCTGCCATGTGGTTGCAGCAAGGCTATCAATGTGTTGTACAAGTGACGCAAAAGCAGTGGAAAGGTTGCCCGGGGTATCTTTTGCATTGAACACAAGGATAGGGATGGTGTTTTTCACAGCATTTGGGTGAGGGATGTTGCAAATCTGGAAGGATAATTTGAAAGACCCGCCCCCATGATCTCCCCCTAACTTCACCCAAATCTCATCCTGCGGGATAACACCATGGTCGGTAAGCATACCAGCCTCCTCGTACTGGTCCAAGAAGAAAAGGACAATCTCTGTGAGGTTGCATGCCACAACCATTGGTGACGAAACTACATCACCACTCGGAAGAGTGAAAGGGCACATTTCGGAAGCATAAAATGCAGGTACCTCTTCCGCAAGCTGCTGCCACATGGTGTTCTCCGACTCAATCTCACACCCAAAGGACTTGAGCCACCTCCGCAGTTTCCTCAGCTGGTTCCAAGGCATGTGCAGATCTGCTTTTAAAGCAAGGGCAGAATGAGATGAAGGTGCACAAGGAGACACGCCGGCAGATTTAAGCAAATTTTCACAGTCTATCTGATCCATACTACGCCGCTCATAGGCATCTTGCTTACCGACACCAACAGTGCCCCCACAGACTACCTCTTTCGCCTGTCGGATTTCCGCCGACCTCCTCTGCATCTGCCTTACAGACACAGCATCACTGCCACCTTGCGTCGTACGCACATACAAAGCAGGGGTACCACCCGTCCGTAACTCTAGCCTACCATCAGTGGACTTTGACTGTACCAAGTGGGTAGTCAAATGCTCCGCTGCCTCCCCACGAAGCTTGTGACGCTGTCAAACCATCTGCGACAGTAGTCGACCTGGTCACACAGGCAGGGCCACTGTATGCATTGAAAGGACAGACCTTCATATGCGTCTGCAATGAGAACGGTTTCATGCTGTGCTGGCAGCCAGAAAGAGAGGACACGTAATTGTCACACCTCACTGGCAGATGAGAAAGACATTCCAGCTCAAATGATGACAACTTTCTCATTCCAGATGCATACATGTCACACATGCAAGAAGGCCAGGTACGCGTAGTGCTGAGGTGCTCCCAAACACATAGCACACAAACTAGCTTGCTACAGCAAGGCGTCGTAAGTGCATTGTCGGCGACGTGCCGGCATACGCTACATGTAACATGAGGGAAAATAAATTTAAACCGATTAGGTGACAGCACCTGGCTCGCTTTGTAGGAAGGCGACCCCATGTCCAAAAGCACCTGCATGCTTTCAAGATCTATGCCAGTGGATGTGGCACTGTCGTCTGCTGACGCGGCTGCGGAAGCTGACGCGGCCGCGGAAGCCGACGAAGACACTGCAGAGTGCTGTGTACTACTATATGTAGGCATTTTTTTCTTTTTTGGTTTCCTCCCACCCTTGCTGCTACTGTTCTTGCAGAACGTACAGTCTGGCTCTGCATGGGCCACCCAAGCTACAAGTTTGCCTGCACAGCCACCACAACAGTGCCTGTACCCCTTTTCCTCACTACGTAAAATGACTTGATGGCAAGGGCTACAGATGTAGCGTGGATGTATGTGTGCCTCATCCTTGGTGACATCGCACTCAAAGACATGCTGTATGCCAATGGAGTATTCGTGAGCTTCATGCTTGTTTTTTTGGCATGCGACGAGAATCTCTCCCCACCAATTCTGCACACAGCTGAAAGGTACTGCACGTGTTGATCCATATTCAATGCAAAGTTGGCATCACAAAGGCGCCTTGGTCTAAGGCAAAGTACGTCGGTCCAGCAAGATTTGTGCAGAATTGGAAACTAGACCAGCAAGGCAAGCACAGAAAACTAAAAACTAACCAAGGAAAACAGGATGAAGAGCAGCAGCAGCCTTAGGAAAACGACCTCGGGTGAACCCAGCTCCTACGCTACGACTCTCAACACTGGAAACGGCTCCAACAGGAAAACGAAACGGAGAAAGAAGATCGTTCGAGCGATCGAGTTGTCAGCATTTTCTCTTGCACCCGCTGCACCGGGACTGGGTGTTCTCATTGGTGTGTGAGCGACGTGGCGAGGCAATATCGATGGGTTTGAGACGTGGGTGAGGATCGCGAAATTGAGGCTCTCAGCGAAAAATTTGAAAAATTTGAAAAACACAGTTGATTGAGCTGGACTCGAACCCGGGGCCTCATGTCGCTTTT